TTGCTGTTACAAACTTATGAAGTTGGTATTCTTTAAATGAAGCACTGAATAAAATAATCTGGGCCCATAACCTGTTGTAAATGGACTTAAATTATGTAGAATGATAAAGAGAAAGGTGTTTTAGGTACAAGATTTACTCAATACAAAACCACAACATAGCTTTCCACAAAACACATCTGGTATCCATGACAACTAACTTATACACAGAACACATGTGATACCAAAATGAACTATTCACACAAATCATATTTCAACAAATTGAATTACCTCAGAAGTCCTTGGAGGATCGTAAAAGATCTGGTCGATGTCCTCCTTCAAACACCTTCCTGAGCTTAATACTAACACTTCTCAATACCTGATAAATTTGAATTATTTAACATTCACTGAACGGAACGTTTGGAACTTATAAAAGTTAAAATATTGAAAATGATAAAGATTGTTGTACACTGGTGAAAAGATCCATTGCAAACTTTGTTTGTATTCAAAAGCAAAAGATTAAATAAAAAGTGAAACTATCAGAGTTACGTGTAACAATTTTCGGTTAAGCTGATTACTCTTAAATTCTGTCAACTTAGTATTATAAAATATGCTCTAGATATAGGTAAATGAAAAGATCGTATTTGGAAATAACACTGTGTATTGATCAATTTAAACTGACATATTGTGATGATGTGGAGTAGTATGAGTGTAAATGAAGATACCTGGGCCCTATATATCTTCCTCTAACCACTACCAAATCACGCACATTTCCTGTCGTAACCCAACTCTATTGCAAGGAATTTATCTAACTCGTCAAAGTGCACAATATTACCTTAGCTGCCTATCACAGCCAGCTTTTATGTTCTTTAATGTATCTAATTATAATATACTGAACAGAGAAATTAATATATATATATCTGGACTTATTCTAATTCGTGAGAAAGGTAACTAGATTTAGCAAATGTGAATTCTAAATTTGTGATATTGATTGCCAGACCACGACCATTCGAGAACCTAATAAATTACATAATTTAATTACTATTTACCCTAACCTACACCCTTCCCCAACCCCTACGAAACTATCTAGACATATTCGTAATTTAAGTACTTATCCGGACTAAGAACTGCTGTTGGCGGAGACGGAGACACTACTACGACTCTGGTAGATCGCCGCGCGCGCTTGCCGGACCGACTGCGCGCGCATCGTCGTCACGTGACTTGCGCTATTGTAGCGATTCGCTACAATATCATACATAAAATAATTTACATCATTATCCCTTAACTGAGACAAATTATCAATTTAAACGGAGAATAATTATTTTGCACTTTTATTAGCTGTTTACTCTAACCCACAAACATACAGAGTCTCGGGAATCGAGAAAATTGAATTTAACAATTATTATTTGGATTACCAGACACCCCAAATCCTTCAGCTACAACTGGCCAGTCGATTATTGATTTCAATAGGGTAATATCATAGATAAATCATACTCCCTTAGTAGATTTGTCATCCTTATGGAACAGCTGAAGCCAATTTTATTGTTAGTTCTGTACGTCCAACTGTAGAGGTTATGTTTTGTTTTCAATTTGTTTCTTGTTATTTCAGTAATTTAAAACCTCATTTAACCAAATAAAACGATTTAATCATAAACAATAACTGGTCTCATAGTTATATAACCAAATAGTATAGCACAAATCATGAAAATAACCCTAAAATAATAAAAACAAAATGTTGTCTACCCCAGCGATCGGCGTGGACGTACATGAACTAGACACGAAAAACAAGCTTCAATATTTACAATGAGATGAGGAGTCTACTTGTGTTGATTAGTCTATGGTAATGTTTGCAGCAAACCTATTATAATTGACTTTTATGAAGTTAATAGGAGTCTATTAATGTAACCAGTAAAATTTCCTAGCCTTCAACCGAGGACAATGCTATGTTTCCCCTAAATCACCTCTGCACAATCAAATACTCTCACTGAATTTATATTTTAACTGTTCAAAAACATTATGAAATATGAAATACAAAATACAATATTTTTAGTGATGACTGCAGAAATAGACCTTTACATATCTATATATTAATTTGAAACTGTTTTTCTTTGTCACAGCTATTTTGAGAGAACGGCTGGGCGTAGAAACTCGGTAGAGGTGTCTAAAGAAAGGTCTTGGTCTGTAGATGAGCCATCAAAAGAGAAACATGGTGAATTTCCTTGGGGCTCTGCCCCCGTGGCCTTTAAATTCCCAGCCCATGTTATTCTTATGGAGGAAAACGGGGGTTTTGTCAGAGCTAATTTGAGAGAACGGCTGGGCGTAGAAACTTGGTAGGGGTCTCTAAAGAAAGGTCTTGGTCTGTAGATGAGCCATCAAAAGAGGAAAGAGGTAAATTCCCTTGGGGCTCTGCCCCAGAAGCCTTTAAAGTTGCCTCTTCAGATTTGTTTACATTACGACCATTTGCATAATTCTACACTACTTTTAAATGCAACAGCTGTTAATATTTAAATTGTGATTTATTGAATTTGTCAAAATGAAGTACAGTATTTGCAATGGGTTTTTCTGACTTTAAAATTGATTTTCTTCAGCATTGTGTCATGTTATGCAATATAATGTCGTATTACCAAATCAGTGGAAAATCCTAATATCACAGTAACTTTTAAAATTATTTCTTATGCAGTTAACTTATCTATTGTATGGGTTGGTTTATGCCTTTTAGCGAATTTCCCATATAGGGAATAAGCTATTACCCCTACTCATGGTAATCATGGTAAGACCTGGACGCAGTACCGATTTTTCTTTCGTTTTGAGGTCCCTAGAGGCCAAAAACACCATCCGTTCAAATTCATATATATATATATATATATATTTATATATATATATGTATATATATTTATATATATATTTATATATGTGTCCGTCAGCACGATAACTCGAGCAAAAATGATCCGATTTTGATGAAATTTGGTACAAACGTGTAAACCTACGTTTATTCGAACGAGTTCGCGATCCAGCATGATCGGACCATGGGAACGGGTGTTTACGGGGGTTTTTATGGGGTAAAAATAGGTTTTTCCCATTTTTGACCCTAAAAGCCTAGTCTGCACATCCTTTATTTTTCCTGAATCCATATTGTGTTTCAGGAATGAGGTTATTTTTTTCTATAAACCATTCAAGCCTATTTCTAAAAATGGTGTTAAAAAGTTTCATAAAGCAAGGCATTAATGAAATGGGTCGGTAGGATTCCTCATTGTTTACTTCCTTCCCCGGTTTTAGTATAGCTGTGATGCTGACAACGTAACAAGTCAGCCAAGAGCCAATCAAAATCAAGCTATTATTCTTCTCTCCTGGTTTAACGGGGGCGACTCGCCAGTTAAACCAGCCTCACCCGGAGGGTTAACTTAAACCTAGTTTAAACGGAGAAATTATTTTGGGGAAAGTGAATCTGAGGTTAAAGTAGCAAACCAGCATGATCGGACTATGGGAATGGGGGTTTACGGGGGGTTTTATGGGGTAAAAATAGGGTTTTCCCATTTTTTACCCAAAAAAAAAAAATAAAATTTAGCAATTTATTTCCAAACCATTTTGTAGAGCTTAAAAAAACAAATAATTTAGTATATTGAAGCGTTATTATGCGCCTAATGGTTACGGAGAAAATTCCAAAAAATTGTAAATTTAAAATTCTCATGTTATTCGTATGGAGAATAAGTAAACTGTTGTAGTTTGCTTGTTTATGAACATATTTTGATCAAATTTGGAAAATGTTTTTATTTCTTACTAACTATTAACATTTTACAAAAAAAAAAAAGAAACTGTTTTACCCTCCCTGATGCAGCAAACCTAAGTACTTGTTAAACTAATTCTATTTAAATTTGGAATAAATGTTATATTTTTAAGTAGACATTTCAGTGTAAATCCAATCAGTCAAATGGAAATTCGCTTAGTCTGCAGGTTTGCTGCGGCGGGGGTATTATACCACTTCTTGGAGATTGTACGTAGGTGATTTTCTTTGGCATATTGCATCTGTAAACGAAACTTGGGTTGTAAGTATTACAATGGAAAAGAGCGAGAAATCCTGGACAATATGATGTAGGCTAAAAATAAAACTGAATTAACACTGTGCTACATTTCTTGAGCTAACATTGAAATAACCAATTTGCAAACAATGGAAACATAGAAAAAGTCGTAGAACACAACCAAGTAGAAGAAATAGAAATAATGTTTTTTTACACTAAAAACGCTCAAAAACAAGATCAGCTTTTTGAAAAAAGATAAGATATTTACAAAAGATTTTGATTATATCTAACTGTTGTGTAGATCGTGAGATGACCATAAATTGAGTCGCCTGTAATGCTTCGCAATTGCTCGAATTCGAGCAACAGGTCCACTAGTAAACATAAATTTAATCCTATATCACAGATAATCTTTTTCCTTAATTTAATTGGCTTATCAAATCAGTTTCATAAATAAAATTCAAAATAAACAGAATTTCTACCACAAACTTAACTTTTGTAGCGATATGGCAAATCTAATAAATTATTTTCATTTCTGGATTTAAGAACATGTGATTTTAAACTGACCAACTAGGACATGAAATAGACAGACCATTACATTGACAGGATTGTGCAAACTATGTATGAACCAGAAATGTGAGAAACGGCAGATTGGCAATATTAAACTATCTCTAAAACACAGACAATACAAAACATTTACTTACACACACACACGTTGACACATTAACACTTACGCTGACGAAGATTCACACACGCACATTTAAAACTGACTCGGAGCATTGTCTGACTGAGCGAAGAAATTTTCACGACAACGGTTTTTTCACGGTGTAGGACTTATCAATTCTTTATTATTTTGATCCAATTAAAAAGACCGTCACGATAATTTACGAATGGATAAGAAATAG